GGTTGATTGACATGGTCATGCCCCTGATGATACCTTGAGATACTGGCATGCTCGGATCCTGTTAACTCCAAAGATTTTTCTTTAGAAATGGCAGTATTTGTTTTCAGACTGAAAGCAGCCATATATCCCAGCTTCTACAGTGGCTGGGGGTAGGGGGTGCTGTGATTAGGGACACGGGGGGCCCTAACTCCTCTGTGTTTTTACCCAAGGTGTGCCTTACAGAAGGCCTGTGGATGAGGGCACTCACCCACCACTTGTCTCCCCTCACACAGCAGATGCTGAAATGCCCACAGTGACTTAGCAAATGACTAAGAAGGGGTCAAACCAAGACAGCAGCCCTGTTTTCTCCAGGCTTTCAAACTCCCCCATTCAGATTTGCATCCCTGTGTCCCAGGGCTGTTTGTACCTTCTTCCTGCCTGGTCAGTACTATCCCTTCTGTCTGGACAGCTCTGATTCTGTTTCTCCTTCGTCCTGGCCGCCCGCATAAAGATGCATCTTTAAGTAGAACGAAGAATTTCAAGCCAATACCTATACTTTTCTTGTCACTATAACCACATTCTAAACAGTTTGTTTTGGTTCACTGCATCAGGACCATCATCCATCATATCAAGATGCATCTTGGCTAGAGAGGGTCTGTCCCTGGTCCTTAAGGGAGCTCCCAGCATGGGTTTGTCACATCAAACAGCAGGCAGGAAGCAGAGAGCTAGGCTGGGAAACTGTACACCCTCTGGGACCTGCCTCTCCAGCCTGACATCCACCAGCTAAGATCGTAGCCAGCAAGTTACACAATCTCCCTGAGCAGAGAGAGCAGCTGAGCAACCGGTGCTCAAAATCATGAGCTGGGGACAAAAGTTTACAAACTGTAACAGGGTGGCCAGGTCATGTTTGTGTTTTTGAGGGTTCCCCAGGGTGCAATTGAAAACTAGCCTTCAGTGTCGAAGGCAGAGGAAGGGAAGACAGCTCTGAGCAGACAGGGCCTGAGAAGACCAGATAAGTGGGGTCGGGAGAAAGAGGAAGTGGGTGATCGCTGGAAATCCGCCTCCTGGCAAGGCACACCCTCTCCATGATTTCACTTTATCTGCTGCTGTCTCTGTGGGGCTGAACTTGATCACAGCTAGCAGAACATCCTCCAGTTCCACTGGGATTTATTTCAGAATCTCTTCCCAGCAATGCAAATCCAACCACCAGGGAGCCATTTACTACAGAGGAAAGCCTTGGCTTAGGATGCAGAGTGTGTACTTGGGACCAGGAACGAAGTGTGCAGGCTTTATTGGGTCCACATGCCATGGAATTGCAAACATCAACTTTCTGATAATGAGGGAAGGCCATAAGGAGTTTAAAGACATCCAGGGGAATGACTAAACTACTTACCCCAAAACATATGTCGTGATTTCCACTGTACGTTATGCTATAGATGAGTCAGCCCGAGAGAGCTGAATTTAGGCTTTTTACAGACCCCTCCTTTCAGGATGTCAGAGCTTCTCCTTAACTACAGGGAATAGGAAAATGATGATTCATTTGGGATCTGGTACCTCTAAGACTAAGATGGCCACCATACTGGAGTTACAAAGAGCTCCAGGGATCACCCATCAGTGAGACAAACAAGCCGGAACATGGCAGACAGTGAGAAGAGACTCAGCCACACACACAAGAAGACTGACTAACTTGAAGGGAATGTTTAAGGACAGAACGCCCAGAGTCTTGGTGGTTTTGCATCTTAGTTAGGGTTTCTTGTATTTGTGGGGATGGGAGGAGGAAGGGTTTATTTTGTCTTACAGCTTGTAGCCAATCACCCAGAGAGTCAGAGCAGTAAGTTGAGGCAGAAGCTGATGCAGGGGCCATGGTTGAATACTGCCCCTCACAGCTCACTCAGTCTTCTTTCCTATAGCATGCGTGACTACCAGCCCAGGGGTGGCACTGCCTACAGTGAGCTGGGTCCTCCCACATCAATCATCAAAGGATGTGTCACTGGCTTGCCCACAGGCCAATCTTGTGGGGTCATTTTCCCTGCTGAGGTCCCTTCATCCCAGAGGACGCTCACTGTGTCAAGTTGACATACAACTGGCCAACACACTGTGTTCTGCTGGGTGTCTCACCTCCAGACCAGGAAGAGGGGGACAGCAATGCAAATGAGGTCTGAAGGAACTCAGAGCCAGCAAAGCCAGGAGGAATAAATTAAGGGTGTGGCTGCAACAAGCAGGGGGGTCAGACACAAAGCAGAAGAGCTGGGCTTAGAAGTGAAGCCAAGTCTAAGTGGCAGAGCAGACTCCTGCAGGCCAAGGTTGAAGCTTCCTGAGTCCCTGCCTGAATTGTTACAGCCTGCTGAGGCCCAGGCAGCTGACGCTCTGCATGCTCGCATGAGCAAGTGTTACCGTGACAGGTTCTTCTTGGCCATTAACTTCTCTGTGCTGCGGGACACTTGGTCTCCCCACTAGCCCACACATGCTATTTCTCAGTGTCTCTACATAAACTGCAATGGGTTTATGCCTAAATAAAAGGCAGTGCCTTGCATTCATTGTTATGAACATAGGCTTGTGTGGCTGGATAATCCTGTTGCCACTCCATCAAAACACACATTTCCGTGTGGGCATGGCGCTGTAGGAAGGGGGAGGAATGGTTTAGCCGACTACGCCATGACACCTGTAGGCTCCCCCTCAGGTGCTAGGCAAGCAGCTGCAGTATGCCAGCATCCTACGAGACTATGGGGAACCGAAAATGCTACCCTGGATGTCTAAGAGCACAGTTTGATGTCAGAGGGACTGAGATGCTGGCATAAGCCAAGAGTCGATGACACTGCTGTGGTCTGTGCCAGATACCGTGGCCAAGAAAAAAGTATATAAAACAACAGGCAGCAAGTTACACCTGTCATCTGGTCGGAGATGGGCCGGCGGGCAAGTGCGGAGGGAAAGGGCAGTTCCGCAGACTAGTAAACACAGTCTCCATGTGGGAAAATAGAACAAGAGGCAATGTTCCTCATGACATTTTACAAAAGAGCAAAAGGGCATGCGTGAATATACGAAATGGGGGAGGAGTACATTTAATAAATTAAGTGGAGACTTTTCTGGGTTGGCCCCGCAAGATGAAAGCCACGAAAATCATAGGTGATGTCATCATCTGCTTTCACTAGCATGGGAAAACGTGTGCTGGGTGCTCGAGACTCAGGGGATTAAGGCATCAGGTGTGTTGTGCTGAGATTTATAAGGTTGTTTTTCCACGTCGGTGAGTAGTCACAGGCACAGAAGTGGGCCTAGAGGAGTAGGGGGTGGCCCAGTGGGCAGAGCACTCACTACACAACAACATGAGGACCTGTATCTGGGTCCTCAGAACCACATAAATCAGACTTGGCAATCCCAGCATTCCAAAGGAGAGATGGGAGGTGGAGACAGAGGGATCCCGAGGCTCCTAGGCCAGCTAACCCAGGTGTGTGAGCAGCACAGGGACTTTGCCCCAAACAAGCAGAGTGAGGGCTCATACCTGAGGTTGCCTTATGACTTGCACATGCCCACCTGGGTCACACGTGCCCATCCATACACACACATGTCCATACAACACATGCCTATACATACAACACACGCCTATACATACAACACACGCCTGTACATACACACATGCCTATACATACACACATGCCCATCCCATTTACATACACACGTGTCCATGCACATGCACATGTCCATACATACATATGCCTACATATGCACACACATGTCCATTCATACACACATATGCTCATTCATCCATACATGCCCATACACACACATGCCTATATGTACACACACATACCCATCCACATACACTCACATGCCCATCCACATATACACACATGCCCATCGACACACACATGCCTATACATACACACATATGCCCATTTACACACACATGTTCACACATGCCTATTTATACATATGTGTCCATCCACACATACACATGCCCATCCACACACATGCCTATAAATACATCCACACATGCCTATAAAGACATATGCATGTACATACACACATGCCCATAAATACACACATACATCCCATATATACTCACATGTCCATATACACACACATTCATGTCCATCTACACAATACACAACACACATGCCCATACACACATGCTCATCCATATCCATGTCCATCTTCATACACATGCCCATACATACATTTACAAACACACACTTACCCATACAAACACACACATGCCCACACACATATTGAAAGCTGCTCCCTCATATAACTCCTGTCCCGGCATGGAGCTACGAGAGCAGTTTTTCCAGACCATCGTCTGTACTTTATGGAGAGAATGTCTGAGTCCCACAAACAGTCAAACAGCCCAGAAAGGAGTAGAATCGACATCACTGGTGTTTTAGTCGCTGCCTGAGTCTGGAACTGAGGAGACCCAAGTTCCTCTGAGGAAACAGGAGAGAACCACTCAGAAAGGAGCCGTTTTTCAGCAGCTCCAGCGTTTGTTTAATTAGGACAAATTCAGTCTCTTGGGTAGATCAGTTTGACTCTTAAACTCAGTGGGTTATAACCTGTATCTGGTTGAAACAAAATGTGTTCAGCTCAAAATAGATGAGGTTAGAAAACCATCAAACAAAGACGATGACATCCCAAAGTCCCAAAGGAACTAAGAAGTAAGACAAAAGAAGATGCATAAAATCAATCTAGTTTTTTGAAAACTAAAAAGAATTCCATCAGGGAAAATAGAGAGCAAAGGTTTGGCATATGGGTGTCAAAACTCAGGTGTCAGAGAGGTTTTGAAAACCGGTTGTGCGTCACCAATTTTATATATATATATATCCAAGATCAGTGTGACAGACGCTCACTGCCAATAGTGACGGGAAGGTTTTTAATGTCCTAACAGTGCTGTTTCCAGCGACTCTCCGGTAACAGAGCTGTACTACACCTGAGCTAGGGAAAAGAAAAAGAGTGAGGTGGCGGCAGCCGGCGTGCGACATCTCTCCAGATCTCAGGCACATTCATTTATCGTTGCCTTTTCTCCTCTCCAGGAAAAGCACAAAGAAGAAATGACGATGGCCAAGTTAACTGAATCCATGAGTGAGTAACCTGACATTTATTATTTGCTTTTGGTTTTGAATGGAGAAATGCAAAAATCACGTAAAGAGAAAATCCTGTCTGTCTGTCTAACTTTAATTCTGCGGATGGCTAAGGCCCATCTGATCTAGTATACAGCCCTGCATCCGTGTGCTTAATGCAATCCTCAAAATCCATCTCGGTTGGGATCAAGTTTCCAGGCTAAAAATGTTGCCCACAAATGGAGCTGAAAAAGGAAATGGATTTATTTTGTGTTACTGCTTTGGGGGTTGGGAATTCACAATGATTTCAGCCTGACTTGTTAGAGATTTAGCCCAAGTTGGATGAAGTTTTGTGTGTGCCTATCTGGTGGGCTGGGCAGTATATAGAGAGGCCAGGATGATGAGTCATGGTTAAGCCTACAAGGTGTCATTCAGACTTTCCCAACAGACGAAAGAAACGTGCATGAACTGTAAGCAGCTTGCGGTAATTTCCATTCTGAATGATCGGTGTCATAATGCCCTAAGCTCTTAAGCTGAATGAATGGAATCCACAAAGTATCTTGAAGAAGAAAGGGAAAATAATTATAATAAGTCACTCTTCAAATGGCATTTAAATATTAAAACCATGGGGATGGGGCATGAGCTGGCTATTGTTTCTTTTGAAAGTATGTGTCGCTCCTGATAACAGCGTCCAAGTGGAACTGCAAACCCTTCTGTGTTATCCTTAGAGCTATGAACTGCCTTTGTTTAATGCTTGGGTTGTGTGACTGCTGAAGCTGAGGGTTTCTCTATGGCAAAGTGCCTCATCCTTTCATGGTTTGGGTCCTCAATGGGGGCAATGGGGGAATAAGTAAAGACAGACACACGGCTACAGACATCTGAGCCTGGGTGGGCTGTCCTTGCCCTGATGGAGGAGCCACAGCACCCTGGACACTGTGTGTTCATTAGATGTGATTAAATGGGAAGGCAGGATCATTGCATACAGTTGAACAAGGGGTAGGTTTAGCTTGTCTGTGCACGAGAGCAGTCTTTAGGGTGTAAACATTGAGGGGAAAAAGCCATGGTGGGTATTTTTATACCCTGTCAGCATTCACACACTAGCCAGAAGAAGGCTTTGTCATGCCTCCAAGCCTTACCCAGGAAAAATTTTGCCACATCCACAGGGCTGAGGCATTGGTCCCTACCATTGTGTGCCCATGTCAACGATACATATTCACTCAGGACTTCAATCTCGTCCCACAGCAGAGTCAAAAATCCTAATACCCGAACTTTCCAGTCTCTATATAGGATGTCAGAAATCCTCGATTCTTGCTTTCCTTTAACTCCTGACCCCAAACCTCTAAACAAGTGCAAATGAGTCCCAATTTCAGGCCAATGCCGTCTTGTAACTAAGGGTTACAGGAGCAGAAGGATCGGGCATGGGCTCCTTGGCCTCTTCATTTCTGCATTGTCCTCTGCCCGGCTCCCTGCTTCATCCTGGGCTATCTGTGGCTTTATACATGTTGGAAATATTTCCTACTTGGTTTGAGGCCCCACAAACAGGGTCTTTATAAGAAGAAAAAGTCTCTCAAACTGTGTTCTTGTCAGATACGGCATGAAATCACGCAACTTTCACAACAGGACACACATAAGGAGATCATGGACAGTGGCCACTCCTTCACTATCTAAAGCTCACAAGCTAAGTTCTAACCTCCAGATTCTAAGGGCCAATATAAATGACCCATGTATTATGTTCGTCTTCCTCCTCCTCACTCCTGTTGCCCAATTTTCCTTCTTTTATTTCCTGCAGTCCTTTTTCACTCTAGTGAGTGCTTGGCTTGCAGACATGAGTCGCTATGCCCAGCTCGACAGTTCCTCTGAGCGCTAAAACAGTAACCGCTGAGAGCCTAGCACTGCCTGGGCTTTGTAACAAAGTTTCAGTCTCACGACCCATGTCTAACACTCTCTGGCTTAATCTACTCACACACGATCAAAATTGAACTCTGACTTCTTGAGAGGAGAAAAGGGGACAGCTGTTCTAAATTGCTCTGTCTTTAGAGGGGAATCATAGCTATGTCCATGGTACAAGGAGATTAAAGGCTTAAGAAAAGACTTCTTCATTGTGCCCAAACGTAGCAAATGTAGCAGCTCACTGATTCTTGGAAAGATGTGTACCTTTGTGATGTATATCAGACTTTAACCTTTTAGATTTCATGATATAGAGTCGTGGGTTAACAAATAAACATGATATTGAGATTAAATTCATGAATGATGAAGTATACAACTGCATATTTACTCCGCATAAAACACTGATAAAGAAATAAGAGCATCATTATGAAAGGAGAGTCAAATCAGTAAACCGCAGAGAGAATGAACAGTTACCACTCCATAAACGAGTGGGAACATCGCATCCGTGGCCACCGGAGAAAAGGGACATAAACAGAATCGTGAATACCCAGGACACGGCGCTCTGAAATGGGTTTTCAGAGCTGGTAAACATTTCACTGGGCAAACTGCCAAGCAGAAGCCATCTGGTTACCAGATCGCCTCTGTGTTTGAGGAGAACTAACAGCAAAGCTTCTCATAGCACAACCTATCAAAATGCTGTTGAGGACTCGCAAGCCACACCTCCCTCCCTATGTCTTCCCAGCCCACGCCTCCAACCAACTACCTCAAAAAACACAGCCATGAGAAGTAAAAATATCAATAGGTTACTGCGTCCAGCGAGAAGCAACTATGTTTAATAAATACAATACTTTAAAATATTTTATGTCTCATTTTCAAAGCAAGGAGAGGAAAATAAAAACAGCATGAAAGGGAAATGATGACCAGGGAAAGCAAAAACACAGGAAATGTATATAGGAGAACTCAGAAGAGAGACTATCTCACAAAGAGAAACAGTAAGACAGGGGCAAAGAGGAAGCGTTGAGAAGTAGGGGAGGTGGCAAGAGAGGCCAGTGGCTCTAAAACAGCACAGTGCACAGACCATAACTGGCTGCCTCCTTGCCACCTTATGATGGGTGCTTTGTAATTAGCCTTTAAATTGCAATCGCTGTCTGCATCTATAAAATGGGCATTTTCCTACTTACTCTGTCAGAAACTCTATTTAAAAAGAATAGAGAGGGACTGGAGAGATGATTCAGTGGCTAAGATTACTAACTGCCCTTCTAGAGGACCCTAGAGGACCCAGGTTCAGTTTTGAGCCCCTTGCTGCCACTCACAGCTATCAGTAACTCCAGTTCCAGAGGACCCAACTCCTGCTCTGGGCCTCCACAGGCACCTGGCGTGCACGTGGTGTACAGACATGCATGCAGCCAGAACACTTATGCACACAAAATAATAAAATATTTTTAAAGAATTAAAAAAGGAGCATCCAGAAATCTCACAGTGAATGACGTTGCTCTGAGTTTGCCCTTCCAGTACCCAGGATTCTAATGCCCATCGGTTGAGTGAAATTGATCTGAAAGGCAGAGCCCAGTGGAGCTAAATGCGGTCTATAAATAGACACATAAAGACTCAAACTGTGCCATCATCAGAGGTGACACCGGAGTTCTCAAGCCAAGGTCCCACGACGACAAACTGGAGGTTTAGGGCCATGCAAACACCCAAGGGTCTCTAATATCACTACCAGTACCTGCGCAGGCTGTCCTCGCATAAACGCTATGGGTAAAAAGCCTCATGGTCGCTGCCTGTGCTGTTTCTCCTGGCCCCCATTTCAGAGCTCCTGGGAAAAAGGGGGGGGTGCACTCAGGATCTGACCCTGTATGGGGTGATGGAGTTGCAAGGATGAAACAGGTTGGAGACCTGGACTGGTACCTTTTCCAGCTGCATGAGGTCCCTGTACAGTCCCTGCCAGTATCCTGTACTGTGTTCTTGCCTGCTCCTCCCAAAGAGCAGCATATCCAGAAGGCATTGCTGCCTCAGTAGATGGAGGTCTCCTGATAGGCATGTCGTTGATCCTGATAGGCCTAGAGTTGCCCTTCTTCTTCTGCCTCCATCTTGCCAGCATCTCTCAGGCACATGTGTCTCAAGCCTCCTTTCCCAACCAGTGTCCCTTGTGGTCCTCAGGTCATCTGTAGGGGCCATTCTGCCCTGCAGGTGCATTCCACGTGGACATCACGATCATAACACAGAGCCGGGAAAGGGCAGAGACTCCTCAGTACCCTTGGGAAAGAAAGAAGGGAGTGGCAGCCCACAGCCTCATTCTCAGAGGCTTTGGAAACTCTTCCTACCCAGCCGGGGAGAGATGGAGCGATCTCCAGAGCCAAGGACCCGTCCTAGAGGTGCTCAAGGGTTCTCGTCGCTGTACTTTAGAGGGAATTCCCACCCTGACTAGAGAGCCAGCTCCAATACAGCTCAGATTTGAAAATTTCCCCCGTCAAATGAAACGAGGAGATGAAACCAATTACAATCACCACACGTTAAATTAGCTCTATTAAAGCAAAGTGGTTTTTAATCATGTCTCCTAAGAGGAGCAGCTGGTGGAATTCTGGCATTGTGTTAAGGCACGGAACAGCGGGGAGACGGGTGGCTTCATGCTCCACGCACAGCCTCTGGGGAGTCACCACCTAAAGCTCTATGGTGACCCGTCAGGTAGACACAGGTGGCAGGCACAGGCCTGCGAGGCTTCTCCTTCAAACCCCAGCATGCTCCTAGGTCTGAAGGACACCTGAAGGGTGAGCGGGCTCCCAGCAGGCCACCGAGGAGAGTGTGAGTGACCAACATAGGACAAAGAGCACAGCAGGAGAGGTCTGAGACACAAGGACAGGACAGAGCGCTGACCACAGACAGGAGGTCAGATCATAAAATGGCTGCAAACAGCTTGGACTCCTCCTTTGATTAAGGAGAGGGTGGTGCTTGGGTTTTAAAGTGGGTTACCATTTTAGAATGAGTCTACAAAGGCATCTATGGGGAGATTGCAGGTTGGACAAACGTAGAGAGAAGCAGCCGGAAGCCTGGAGAACAAAGTGAAAGACTGCGTGCAACCCAAGGGTAGGTCTATGTGCACCAGAGAAGACAGTGCCCAGCAGGAGAGGCAGAGGG